ATAACATATCACTCCTTCTAGTGCAGTAAAGTTGTATTAATGACAAAACATTTAACTAGAAGAAGAGATAACATATCACTCCTTCTAGTGCAGTAAAGTTGTATTAATGACAAAACATTTAACCAGAAGAAGAGATAACATGTCACTCCTTCTAGTGCAGTAAAGTTGTATTAATGACAAGACATTCATCTAGAAGAAATAACATTTCACTCCTTCTATTACAGTAAAGTTGTATTAATGACAAAACATTTAACCAGAAGAAGAGATAACATATCACTCCTTTTACAGTAAAGTTGTATTAATGACAAAACATTTATCTAGAAGAGATAACATATCACTCCTTCTAGTACAGTAAAGTTGTATTAAGAACAAAACATTTAACCAGAAGAAGAGATAACATATCACTCCTTCTATTACACTAAAGTTATATTAAGGACAAAACATTTAACCAGAAGAAGAGAAACATATCACTCCTTCCATTACAGTAAAGTTGTATTAATGACAAAACATTTCACCAGAAGAAGAGATAACATTTCACTCCTTCTTTTACAGTAAAGTTGTATTAATGACAAAACATTTAACCAGAAGAAGAGATAACATATCACTCATTCTTTTACAGTAAAGTTGTATTAAGAACAAAAAAATTAACCAGAAGAAGAGATAATATATCACTCCTTCTAGTACAGTAAAGTTGTATTAATGGACAAAACATTTATCTAGAAGAGATAACATTTCACTCCTTCTAGTACAGTGAAGTTGCATTAATGACAAAACATTTAACCAGAAGAAGAGATAACATATCACTCCTTCTATTACAGTAAAGTTGCATTAATGACAAAACATTTAACCAGAAGAAGAGATAGCATATCACTCCTTCTATTACAGTAAAGTTGTATTAAGGACAAAACATTTCACCAGAAGAAGAGATAACATTTCACTCCTTCTTTTACAGTAAAGTTGAATTAATGACAAAACATTTGACCAGAAGAAGAGATAACATATCACTCCTTCTTTTACAGTAAAGTTGTATTAAGAACAAAAAATTTAATCAGAGAAAGAGATAACATATCACTCCTTCTAGTACACTAAAGTTGTTTTTATGACAAAACATTTATCTCGAAGAGATAACATTTCACTCCTTCTATTACAGTAAAGTTGCATTAATGACAAAACATTTAACCAGAAGAAGAGAAACATATCACTCCTTCCATTACAGTAAAGTTGTATTAAGGACAAAACATTTCACCAGAAGAAGAGATAACATATCACTCCTTCTAGTACACTAAAGTTATATTAATGACAAAACATTTAACCAGAAGAAGAGATAGCATATCACTCCTTCTATTACAGTAAAGTTGTATTAAGGACAAAACCTTTAACCAGAAGAAGAGAAACATTTCACTCCTTCTTTTACAGTAAAGTTGTATTAATGACAAAACATTTAACCAGAAGAAGAGATAACATATCACTCCTTCTTTTACAGTAAAGTTGTATTAAGAACAAAAAAATTAACCAGAAGAAGAGATAATATATCACTCCTTCTAGTACAGTAAAGTTGTATTAATGACAAAACATTTAACCAGAAGAAGAGATAACATATCACTCCTTCTATTACAGTAAAGTTGTATTAATGACAAAACATTTAACCAGGAGAAGAGATAACATATCACTCCTTCTAGTGCAGTAAAGTTGTATTAATGACAAAACATTTAA